TCTCTGATCTCCTCTCTCTTCTATTCTTCTCTCTCCTCTCTCCTCTCTTTTCCCTCTTCTCTTTACTCCTCTCTCTTCTCTGTACTCATCTGTTCTTCATCCTCTCTCCTCTCTTCGTTTTCTTTTCTCACTTTTCTTCGTTCATCTCTGATCACTCGTTCTTCTCTCCTTCTCTCTCATCTCTCATTCTTCTTCCTCTTCTCAACAACCACAAAGATTTGAAACCAATCAAGAAGCAACCATCGCCACCGCCGTCAATAATTCGAACCATGCATGCATCAGCCACGTCATTAAAACCAAGTGGTAAATTGCCTAAATTTTTTTGGGTTTAATTGATGTAATATTGCGGGTTTCTGGGTTCTGGGTTTTTTTTGGATTTATGGGTTTTGAGTTTTCTAGGTGTCTTTGGGTTTTTTCGGATTTTGGGTTTCTGGATTTCTTTGGGTTTCTGGGTTTTTCTAGGTTCGAAATTTCTAGGATTTTCTTGGTTTTTTCTTGGTTCTTTTTTGGTTTTTTCTTGTTTCATTATTGTTGCGTTGTTTATGGTTTTCTAGAATTTTCTAACGTTTTCTGTGTTTTTCTTGGATTCGGGTGGTTAGGGTTGGGTACAATGGTGGTGGTGTTTCAGGTGGGCTAGTGGTGAGTTTCGGGTGGCTAGGTGGGGGTTGCGGTAGTTAGATGGTGTTGATGAGAGTGGTGTTGCCGATTGGAGTGTGACGGTGGTGGCGGCAGGCGGTGGTTTTGGTGGACCTGGTTTTAATGGTGGATTTCTGGGTTTATTATGGATTATTAGTCTTTTTTTCATGATTATTAGCTCTCTTTGTTGTTAGTTGAAACTTGAAACCCTAAATTTTGATTTTTTAAGTACTTTAAAGTTTTGATTAATCGTCGGATTTTACATTTCGATGATATCATAATGTTTTGGTTATGCTTTTTAATGTTTAGATTAAGTTGCTCAAGCTAAACTCGTATTCAACTTGCTCAAGCTACATTCTCTTCTAATTTTATTAATTTTGGTGTTTTAATTGATGCAGGTAGTATTCCACGTAGAAGAAGAAATATTCAAGATTCAAGGATTTTTCTGGGTTCATTATTGTTGCGTTTTTTTGGAGTAAAATAACAATTTTTTTGATGAATATATATATATATGTGTGTGTGTGTGTGTGATTAATGTATATTACAATTTTGGTGTTTTTTTTATTTTTTTTGTAGGGAAACGATTATGGGTTATTGGGTTCATTGCCTGATGAATTTTGGTGTGAAAAAATTGGAATTTTTTTTTATTTTTTGAAGGTATAATGGGCACCGGTTAACTGGTGCCAAATGTTATTAAAATTAAAATACAAAAATCGCGGCACTTACTTTTAGCACCAGTTAACCGGTGCTAATTCTTATTTTTCCCACCGGTTTTGAACCGGTGCGAAAAGTTCTTCTTTTTAGCATCCCTCAAATCTGGACCGTTTCAAAACCGGTGCGAAAGTGGGGTTTTGAACTGGTGCAAATTTACATTTTTCGTCTTGTGAAGCCATGAAATCTGAGATGGACTCCTTATATGAAAATCAAGTACGGGACTTGGTTGATTTGCCCGAAGGATATACACCTATCGGTTGCAAATGGATTTTCAAGTTGAAAACTGATGAGTGACATTTATGTCGCTCTTAGGGTAGTCTTTTCTAGTAGTTTTAGTAATAATTCGATCCATTTTAGTATGTTTTTGCTATGATCCGCCTAGTTCGAGTATTCCACCTTTGTGATGCGTAATGTGTATTCATGTGGTTTAGGTAGTCTATACTCCCCTCCTCTTTCGATGTATTACGCTTTGCCTTCCTGTTCCATGATTGTAGGTGTACGCCGTTGATTCAGAGATGGAAGGAACAAGGGCAAAACAGGAAGAATTCAAGACTAGACAAATGGCGCGGGCGCGCATCCCTTGAGCGCGGGCGCGCTGATGAGATGGACTAGCCATTAAATACCCACTTTGGAGCGGGCACACATTTCGAGGAGCGGTTGCGCCATCATTTAACGCGCGGGCGCGCCTGTCTGTTGCTGATTCAAATCCCAAATTCAGTCCAATAAACAAAAGGGAGGCAAAACGGCTAACTTTGGACACATTCTATCATTAGGATACTTTAGCATAGAAACCTTGGAGGAGAGTTTTTTAAGGAATTTTTCTAGGTTATTGTATTACCACTTTTGTATTGAACAATCTTGATAGTTTTTAGTGTAATTTCATTGCCCATCAACATTAGTTTTACTCTTAGTTTTTAAAGAAGTATCTTGCACCATTGATGTATGGTCAAGCTTGGAGCTTGGATGATGCATGGTTCTTTACTTGGATTTCAATGAAGGTTTTGGTATATTTGTCTATTTTTTTCTTGTTTTTATGATAAATGTTTCTACCTTTGTTAGTTTAGTTGATAAAACCTTGTCTTTCTTGCTATTTCATTGGTTATAATGTTGCTTAGTATGGTTGTAGTTGTAGTTAAGGATAGTGAGTAGTTTCTTGTTGCTAGGGATTTGGTGAAGGTATGCTTTGAGTTTGATGTATGTTAGGCTAGGTTAATTTGGAATATTTGTGATTAAATCTTCGTTGTGCTTATACTTATTGGCTACTCCATGTTTATGGCCATATGCATGTTGTGGTTGAATGACTTGAACTAAATCGTGACGATAGTGCGATTTAGGAATAGTCATTAGGTGATTGATTATTGCATGACCGTAGCTTGTATGCCTTACGACGATAGTGTAAGTGTATGCTAGCTAGGAAAGCTCTTAGTCCCGATAGGTGATTAGAGAGTATTCTTGATATTTCCTTGTATGAGTTGCTTGGGTTACATGTAAACCTATTTCTAATGCCTAACTTCGTTGAATTCATAGCATGTTTGATCCTTCCCCCTAGTGTTGGTTTTAATTGTTATCTTATCCCCTTTAGTCATTACTTTACCCACCATACTTCTTGATCGAACTAGATTAACATTAGGAGATAAATAGTGGTGCTTAATCATTTCCCTGTGTTCGACCCTTGACTTGCCTCTATACATGTTTAGTTGCATGTTTAGGACTACAAATATCATTTGATAGAGGTGTCTTAGTAACAATCTAAAATACCGCCTATCAAATTGGCGTCGTTGCAGGGGAAACGGTTTCTATTGTGTGTTTATTTTCTTGTTGAGACTAGTTCTTTTCCGTTCTTTGTTTTTCCGTATCTTGTCAGTGCCCACTTTCTGCTTAGCTTTGTATATGCACATGAGGCTTAATTGCTCTAAGTACTCTGGCCCAATTGAGGAGACAAGCAAGGGAGAGAGGTGAAGACCCACTTCAAGAGGAAGTGAGAAGTTCCCCTACCCCATCTTCACCCACTTCAAGTGAGGAAGGTGAACCATTCATAGGCTCAATTCTTAACCCATTTGCCAATAACCATAATCAACAAAGCATGGCTGATCAAGGAAACATGGGTGATCAAAGGTCACTAAAGCAACTTGGAGCACCCGAACCATATGCCTCTCAAAGTGGGATCTTAGCCCCCACCACTCAAGCAAACAATTTTGAGATAAAGCCTAATTTAATTTCAATGATAGAGAAGAGGCAATTTACCGATGGAAAATTCGAGAACCCCCATGAGCATCTCAAAGAATTTCTCAAGTATTGTGATACTATCAAGATCAACGGAGTGTCCCAAGAGTACATAAGATTGAAGATGTTTCCGTTCTCACTCATGGGAGCGGTGGAACATTAATTGAACAAGGATGTTCCTCCCGGTTCCCTCAAAACTTGGAATGAGGTAACTACGGCGTTCCTAGGAAGGTTTTACAATCACAAGAAAACCGCCGTCGCTCAAAGATTCAAAGTTTCCGCCAAAGAGGTGGAGAGTCTCTTTGTGAGGCATGGGAGAGATTCAAAGAGCTACAGAGGCAATGCCCACACCATGGGATTCCAAATTGGCAAGTTCTACAAACATTCTATGGAGGACTCTCCCCTCAAAGCAAGACTAGCCTTGATGCCGAAGTCGGAGGCCCAATCATGAACAAAATGGAAGATGAAGTGGAGAGTATCATAGAAGATGTTGTGCGCAATTATGAGGATTGGTACGAAGGTGAGAGGAAAGCCACTTCTAGCAAATGAACGGTATAATCCGTCGAGCAAACCAATGCCATCACAAATCTTTCCAACCAAATGGCAAAGATGGCAAAACAAATGGAGGAGTTCATGAAATCAAGTTCTCAAAATACTTCCTCCCCTTCTCCCAAGGGAGGCCATGGTATGAATCCTTCTACTTCTTATTCTTCTAATTACAATGCTATGCCTCCCGATTGTATGTTTTGTGATATATGTGGAGGATATGATCATAATTCTCAACAATGTATGTCCATAAGTGAAGGTCCCCCTCCCCATGAAAATGATGATAATGTTGAAGATGTTACTGCCATGAATTTTGTGCCCCGTGAGGGAAATGCTGGAATGCGGCCAAATTGGAATCAAAACCTAAAACGTGGTTGGAATCAAAACCAAGGTTGGAATCAAATTCAATGGAATCAAAGTGGTGGTGGTTAGGATAACCAAGGCCAAGGTAGGGGAAACTCTTCCAATTACAATGGAAGAAGTTACTCAAACCAAAGGCCCAATTGGAACAACTGCACTATTCCAACAACCAACAACGTTTTAATTCCAATCAGGGTTCCGGGGGTAATAGACCTCAAAATGCTTCTACTTTCTCACAAAATAGTAGACCCCCCGGTTTTGACCAAGTAAGGCCCCATTCCCAAATTCCTCATACTCAACCCCTCCAAATAGAAACCCCTCCGGATCCTATGATGACTATGCTTCAAAATTTCATTAAAAATCAAGAAAACCATAATAAGAGTCAAGAGATAGAAAAGAAACAAATCAAGGCACACATGAAAATGCTTGAGACCCAAATCTCTCAAATTGCCCAACCAAGTTCTTCATCCTCCCCTTCTTCATCTTCTTCTTTACCTAGCCAAGGTGTCAACCCCAAGTCTATGTATGTCATTACTACTAGAAGTGGGAAGATCCTTGAGAGTGATTTCAATGTTGAGAAGAGTTCCGATGTGAGGATAGCACTTAAGGTTGAGGATGAGTCTTCAAGAGAGGGTGCAGTTCTAGAGAGAAGTGCCGGAAAGAATGAGAGGGGTGAGAAAGATAAAGAGAAGGAACCCGAAAAGGAGAGCACCAAAGATCAAACACCTTTACCCCTTAATCTCCAACCTAGGAATGTGAGGTTGCCTTTTCCCCAAAGATTTGCTAGGTCTAGGCTTAATGTCCAATTCGGAAAATTTTTAGATGTAGTAAAGAGCTTGCATGTTTCTAAACCCTTTGTGGATTCTATGAAAGAGATGCCACACTACTCTAAATTCGTAAAAGACCTCTTGAATGGAAGGAGAGAAGTTGAAACCGTTAGCCTAACCGCAAATTGTAGTGATATTCTCTTTAGTAAGCTACCAACCAAATTGCAAGATCCCGGTAGTTTTTCCATCCCTTGTTCTATCAATGAGATTCATTTGGGGAAAGCTTTGTGTGATTTAGGTGCTAGTGTGAGTTTAATGCCCTTTTCGGTCTACCAAAAGCTTAATGTGGGAAACCTTTCACCTACAAACATCACCCTCCAACTAGCGGATAGGTCCGCAAAATTGCCTATAGGGAAGGTAGAGGACATACCCCTTAGAGTTGGTAAGTTCACTTTTCTAGTGGACTTTTATGTTCTTGAGATGGATGAAGATGAAATAATTCCTATAATCTTGGGTAGGCCATTCCTAGCTACTTCTAAAGCAATTATTGATGTCAAAGAAGGTAAGATGACCTTGAAGGTTGACAATGGTTCTATCGAATTTGATTTGAATAAGGTAATGAGACAACCTTCCTCTAGTAATGAATTCTTTAGAATAGATACGATTGAAAATTTGATGAATGAGTTTAGATACCCTCATATGCATGCTTCTAATGATCTACTTGAGAATGTTTTGTTGAATGAGAATGAAGTAGGTGATCAAAAGGAGATGCAATTATATGAGGAAATGCTTGATGAGAAAGAGGAGACAACCCCCGAACAAGAGATGCTCCAAACATATGAAGTCTTCCAAGTAGAAGAGGAGGAAATCTCCAATGGTAAGGGAGCTCCAAAGGTAGAATTGAAACCTCTACCTTCGGGCTTGAGGTATGTCTTTTTGGATGCTAATGATACTTTTTCGATCATTGACAATGCTAACCTCAGGGAAGAGAAAACCTCCTCATTGCTTAATGTTTTGAAAAAGCATAGGAAGGCTTTGGGTTATACTCTTGATGATCTCAAGGGTATAAGCCCCTCCCTATGCATGCATAAAATCGATTTAGAGGAGGGTGCTAAGCCGTGTAGGCAACGACAAAGGAAACTTAATCCTTCCATGCAAGAGGTTGTGAGGAAGGAGGTTTCCAAGCTACTTGAAGCGGGGATCATCTATCCAATTGCTCATAGTGATTGGGTGTCCCCGGTTCAAGTAGTGCCGAAAAAGGGAGGTATGACGGTAATGGTCAATGATAAGCAACAATTGGTCCTAACTCGGCTTGTTACGGGTTGGCGTATGTGTATTGATTACTGCCAATTGAATGCCAATACTTCCAAAGACCATTTTCCATTACCGTTTATTGATCAAATGCTTGAGAGGCTTACAAAGCATGCTTTTTATTGCTTTCTTGATGGTTATTCGGGATTCTTCCAAATCCCAATTGACCCAAAAGATCAAGAAAAGACCACTTTCACTTGTCCCTACGGTACTTTTTCTTACCGTAGGATGCCTTTTGGTCTTTGTAACGCCCCGGCTACCTTCCAAAGATGCATGATGTCAATTTTTAGTGACATGATCGAGGAAGAAATGGAAGTTTTTATGGATGACTTTTCCGTTGGTGGAGGCACATATGAGAAGTGCCTAATTAATTTATCTCGTTGTTTAGAAAGGTGTGAGAGTGCCAACTTCGTGCTCAATTAGGAGAAATGCCACTTCATGGTGGAAAATGGCATTGTTCTTGGCCATAAAATCTCCCAAGCGGGCATTGAAGTTGATGGTGCGAAGGTTGATGTGATTGAGAATCTTCCTCCTCCCACAAATGTGAGAGAAGTGAGGTATTTCCTTGGTCATGCCAACTTTTACCGCCGCTTCATCAAAGATTTCTCTTTCATTGCTAAGCCTCTCATATCTCTCTTGCAACAGGATAAGAATTTGTATTTGATGAAGCTTGTCATGAGTCTTTTTGTAGGTTGAAAAAGGCTCTTTGCACCGCCCCCATAGTCCAAGGACCGGATTGGTCTCTACCATTCGAGCTAATGTGTGATGCAAGCGACGATGCCATTGGATTGGTTCTAGGACAAAGAAAGGATGGGAAACTTCACGTTATATACTATTTGTCCAAGACTCTCAATGATGCTCAACGGAATTATACAACTACCGAAAAAGAGTTCTTGGCGGTTATTCACTTATTTGAGAAATTTATAACCTACCTCATTGGTTCTAGGACAATAGTGTATACCGATCACTCGGCTCTCAAAATATTTAATAAGCAAGAAGGAGGCCAAACCAAGGTTGTTGAGATGGGTCTTGGTCCTTCAAGACTTTGATTACGAAATGAGAGATAAGAAGGGAGCCGAGAACGTGGTGGCGGACCACCTTTCTAGGTTAGGAGGTGTAAGAATACATGAAGACGGTTTGCCAATTGAAGATGCCCTAATGGATGATGTCTTATATGCTCTTGAGGTAAAATCGGAGCCTTGGTATGCGGATATTGTGAACTACTTGGCTTGTAGTGCCATACCCCCGGATTTCACTCCTCAACAACATCGATGGCTCAAGCATGAAGAAAAGAAGTATATATGGGCTGACCCCATGTTGTTGAAGAGAGGGGTGGATGGAATTTTGAGAAGATGTGTTCCTAATGAAGAGTTCCAAGCTGTGCTCTCAATGTGCCACTCATTCCCTTGTGGTGGTCATATAAGTGCTTAAAAGACTGCTTCCAAGGTTTTGCAATGCATGCTCCACTAGTAGAATAAACAAAATTGGAAGCGGTTCAAACCCCCAAATTTGAAGCGGTTTTGAACCGCTTCGGTTTGGGGGGCTTCCCATAGCAACTTTAAATGGGAAGGGGTTCAAACCGTTTCCCATTTGAAGGGAATGGGAAGCGGTTTGCTGCCTGAACCGCTTCCCATTATGGCTCTAAAAAAAAATAAAAAAATTTCACCAAAACCTTTCTTCAACCCAACGAACATGGCTTCCAGGCTAATAGAACGAAGGAAAATTGATAAAAAAAATAAAAATAAAACATAAGTATGAAGATATATACTACGTATTTCCATTAATAAGTTGTAATATTACATTTATAATTCGTCCAAAAAATTACATTTATAATTCAGAAAAAAAAAATTACATAAGTATGAAAATATATACTACGTATTTCCACCACCACGCATCTGCAATTTAGCCACCATCACGCATCTGAAGCCACCACCCATCTAACGCCACCAACGCATCTGACATAAAATTGAAACAAATTGAAACAAATTTACTCATTATGAAAAAAAATTGAAGCAAAATTGAAACAAATTCACTAACCCATCAACTAATTTACGAACTCTAACCAAATTTCAACTAAAAAATTGCAAATAAACCATAAATCGAACCGATTCAAGGCAATCAAACATAAAATTTGAAGATAAATTGTGAAAAAAAGTTAAACTAGATCTGAATTCTTACTGAAATTGCGTTGTCGGTGTTGTTGCTGTTGGCGTGGCATTGTTGCTCGGTGGGTTGCTCGCTGTTGCTCGGTGGTTGTTGCTCGCTAGTGCCCGGTGATGTTTCTCGATGTTGCTGTGTTGATGGGGTGCAGTGGTTGTCGGTGGTTGTCGTGGCCAAAGGAGATGGAGAGAGGAGAAGGAGATGGAGAGGGAGGATAGAGGAGAGAGCAGAGAGCAGAGAGAAGGGGATGGAGAGAGATGAAAGGCGTGAGAAATTAGGGGAATCAGGAGAGAGAAGAAGAAGGCGTGAATTTATTATTGGTAGCCCGATTTTATTTGGCTAATGGGGAGTGGTTCATGTTCAAACCGTTTCTAATTATAATATTTGGGAGTGGTTCACCCATAACCGCTTCCCATTTGTATTTTTTTTTTAATTTTTTTCAAATTTGTTTTTGGAAGCGGAATTCAATAACCGCTTCCAATTTGTGGCTTCCCATTACCTTTTTTCTTCTAGTGCTCTTTTGGCCCTCTCTATTCAAAGATGCTTGGCAGTTTGTTAAAAAGTGTGATAGATGTCAAAGGCTGGGGAACATCTCTAGGAGGGATGAAATGCCTCAAAACCCCATCCTTGAGCTTGAAGTTTTCGACGTATGGGCAGTAGACTTCATGGGGCCCTTCATTTCTTCTCATGGAAACAAATACATCTTGGTAGCCGTAGATTATGTTTCCAAATGGGCAGTAGCTGTGGCCTCTCCTACAAATGATTCCAAGGTGGTTGTGAACTTATTCAAAGAGGTGACCTTTCCGATGTTTGGTGTCCCTAGGGCTATCATTAGTGATGGGGGGTCACATTTCAAGCATCACACTTTCGCTAGACTTCTTGATAAGTATGGTGTATCCCATAAGTGTGGTCTTGATTACCACCCTCAAACAAGTGCTTAAGCGAGAGATCACAAATAGGGAATTAAAGATCATCTTGGAAAAGACCGTGGCTAGAACGAGGAAGGATTGGTCTAGTAAGCTCATTGATTCATTGTGGGCATATAGGACCACCTTCAAGACTCTGATTGGGACAACCTCCTAAAAACTTGTGTATGGGAAGAATTGCCATCTCCCGGTGCAAATGGAGCACAAGGCGCATTGGGTCATAAAGCAAATTAATTTTGACTTCCATGCCGCGGGTGAGCAAAGGATGCTAGATCTCCATTAGTTGGAAGAGCTTCGAATGAACGCCTATGATAGTGGAAGCCTCTACAAAGCAAGAACCAAGGCATGGCACGACGCTCAAATTTCCAAGAAGGAATTTGTGGTAGGACAAAAGGTCCTACTCTACAATTCAAGACTCAAGCTCTTTCCCGGGAAATTGAGTTCTAGATGGAGCGGTCCATTTCAAATATCCAAAGTCTTTCCTTATAGCTCAGTTGAGGTATTCAATGACAACTACCCTCCATTCAAAGTGAATGGGCACCGTCTTAAGCCATACTATGAGGGTCAACTAATTAAGAAGCCGGAAAATTTATAGCTCATTGATGTTTTCCAGTCACCATGATTCTTTTGTGAAGGACGTCAAGCTAATGATGCTAAAGAAGCGCTTACGGGAGGCAACCCGGTTTCTAACTTTTTATTTATTTATTTTTATTTCCTTTGCCACACTTGAACTAATCCATCTAACACTTTTCTTAATCAATTGTGATGTAGGTGTGATTGTATGTGTCCATGAGGAAAGAGAGATAAGAGTTGAAGCAAAATGAATTATTTTTTGAGGAGTTGTGGTTGAATGAAGACCAAAGACAGAGAGCAAGCGCGATTTGCTCGCGGGAGAGGAGCGATCGCGAGTATAGAGTGGCGCGGGCGCACGTATATTAGGCGCGGACGCTCCAGTTCTTGAGTCATAAATTGCCCTCATTCATGAACGTAGGAGCTATTTTTTCGCGCCATAGGAGTGGTTAGCGTCATCAAAGGGGCGCGGGCGCGCTTGACTCTGTCGCGGGCGCGCCATCTGCTTGGTTTAAATCTTCCGATTCCAGAAAGAAGGAGCGATTTTGTCGAGACTACAGAGCGGCCCACGACATCAAAGAGGCGCGGGCGCGCTTAATCCTGGAGGGCGCGTTAACAGTTTGGTCTAAATTCCAGGGAGTTGGAGCGATTTTGTCGCGGTTTAGGAGCGGTCGGCTGATAAGTGTCATTTATGACACATATTAGGGCGTTTTTCTCCCTTAGTTTTAGGTTTATTTCGGTTTTCTTTGTTATTTGTATTCCTTTTAGTCTTGTTTTATTTATATTAGTCTTAGTTTATGGTTTTAGGCCTTAGTTGTGAATAATATGCTTTTTGCTCGGTTTCTAGCTTGATTTGCATGTTTTTCTATATGTTCTTTCACTCTTTTCTCTCTTGGTCTATTTGTGTAGGTGATTGATGCTTTCTTTGATGCTTATGACCCGAGAAAAGGCAAGGAAGTTCAATAGAAAAAGCTTGAAGCTAAGAAAGAAGCTAAGAAGCTTGAGACAAGAAAGCTTGAAGCTCATAGAAGGCCTTAAACCGAGTCTTGTTCACTCTTTCAGCCATAACTTTTGATCTACAAATCGGATTGAAGCGATTTAAATTGCGTTGGAAACTATACTTGAAGAGCTTTCCAATGGTAGGCCGCAACACCCGCGGGCGCGGACAGTGGTGCTGCGGGCGCGGCCATTTCTGCCGCGGGCGCGGCACTCTGTTTTCCCGAATTAGCAACTTTCTGGAGATGCCTTGCCGCGGGCGCGGCTCATAGGCCCACGGGCGCGGCGACTAGACCCGCGGGCGCGGGGTTCTGGGTCTTTTACGAGCTTAATTTTTGGATTTCTTTCTTTCTCTCCTTGTAACATAAATAGAGCACTACTTAGACTTCCTAAGGGGGGAGTTTTTGGGGTCTTGTTTCCTCTTTGAGGGGATGAAACCCCTTTGCCTTCTCCATCATTTTATCACTTAGATTAGGTCTTAGATTTAGTTTTATCTTTGTTTTGTAATTTAGTTTAAGAGTAGTTTAGAGAGAGAAAGTGTAGAGCTTCAATGGTGGATTGAAGAGGTTGAAGATGCAAAATGTGACATTGTTTTGGATTCTTTTTCAATACTTCAATGAGCATTCTAAACTCTTTCTCATTTATTGTTTTCTTTATTATTGCTTTGATTAAGTTGCTATTGTTATTGATTTTTTTCTTAGTTTAATGTTTTCCCTAATTTCTTGTTTACTTAGTTTAATTGTTTTGGTTTAATTGTTCTTGTTAGTTTGGTTTAATTGGTTTCTTGATTGTTCTTCTTTATTCTCGTTAGTTTAAATGGATTTAGTTTCTTTGTTTTTTTTTATCTAGTCATGTTAGTTTAGTTTCCTAGCTAGGGTTAGGGATGATTGTTGATTAATGTGCAAAATGAACACTTTATTGATGGTTTGATGGGGATTGTTGGTGTATTGAACTAAGAATGAAGGGCTTAATGCTTGGTGTCTTTTTAGCCAATCGATATCATGATTTAATCGCTATTATGCTAGTTGTGCGAGAATGAGCTAGTTTAATAGAAGAATTTCGTTGCTTGGTTGACCACGACCTCATAGGCGGGGTTGAGAGTCTAATGGCCTAGTGTGTGAGAGAGTGACCTAGGTTGTTAGGCAATTCTCCATATTATCGACTTGACCAATTAGATTATTGATGATTGTTTGCTTGCGATTGATTAGTGCTAGTATAGTGGTGTGTGCGGATTAATTCTTAGTGATTTGGATGTGCTCATTGAGGTATGTGTAATGCTTGCTTTCGCTTTGGCCGGTTAAATGCATGATCTAATTGCTACCCATTTAGTTGCTTGGGAAAGAGCTAATTAGGTAGAAGTGAACCCTTTGAGTTGATCACAATCCCTTGCCCGGGAT